CATAAGTAATGCAATCTGGGTCATATGAATGTAAAAATTAGTTGGGCAAGGATATGCGTGCTAAGTATATATTCATTGCAAATTAAATGTATTCATTGCATACCGTAATAACTTTCAAGAAAAAAAGTTAATTCTTTGGATGTCAGTTTTCCATTGGCAGCAATGGAGAAACAATAGAAAAATGCTTGGTACCAGGAAACCGCTCTGTATTTCTTAACAATCTTTCAGGTGACTACTAGACCCCATTAGATCCTCAGGATGCTTTCTAAGCTTCTGAAAAAGGCCTCAAGAAGGTAGCAAGGCAAGAAAATGTGTTTTCCCCCATTGAACTCTTAATAAACTTGACGTCCAATATGGCGGCCAATTTATTGTGTGGGTGGATATACGGTACTTAAAAGTTACGAATATACTTAGCACGCATATCCTCTATTAATACTGCAGAGAACCCGGCTGGCTTTTACCAAGTGAAAAAAGCTCTTTGTAATGACCAGCTACTCTAATGTAAATTATTTTAAAGTATAGAACACAGATAACCATGATAACCAGTTATCTGACAGTACATCTCTTAAATGATCCCCCCTATGTAAAATTTTTAAAATCCAAATTTGATTGGAATAAACTCAAACTTTCTACACAGACAAGCACATGTATATGAATCAGAAAAAAATATAAAAATTAAGAATTCTCTTCTAGCTATTTTTGGCAAAACCCTTTGGCCTGATTTTGAACAACTTTAAAAATTTGTAACAAAATCCAATTTTAATTAGAATTGGCTCAAACTTCTTACATAACATATAAGAACATGATGTTCATGTACTAAAACCATCACAATGAATTAATAGCTGCAATGTAGTGCTTTAGCAGGCAAGGTAAGGAGCAATAGGTGCTATAAAGTATAATACTGTGTAAAATAATTATCAATTAATTAAATAAAAGCCATACTAATTGCATAGCTAAAATAAGACAAAATTAAAAGTATAATATTTATTCCTAAGTATCATCTTGCATTAGGTATCATTGGTACATGCATGCTTGATGTCCTAGTGAAAGTGTAAGCTGTTTGTGCATTAGTTGCACCAACAGTTTCTCTCGTGAACACATCTTCATCATTAAAAATAAATTCATCATTTGCTATTCTCATTCTCTCCTTCCTCTTTGTTTGATTCAATATGCAGACGTGTATAAAAACCACAGTGCCAGTAAGTGGAGCAGATAAATCCATACTAAGATACTTGAGCAATAACAGGTCCTCTTCAATTGAATACACAGATGCAACAAAAGTCAAATAAAGTAATGTACTGATCATCGGATAGACTGCAAATGGCAGCAATTCTTTGAGAAGTTTTTTCCATTTATTTTTCACAAGTAAAGGAGCTTCATCCTCACTGCTTCTAGCAAAAGACCTCTTACAAACTGTCGCAAGTATTAGTATCGTCATCACAAAAGTCACAAGGTTTACAACACCAAAGAAAGACAGAGAGACAAAAAAGAAAATATAGCCATATTTGCAAATAAAATTCAAGAATTTGACAATGACAGCAAATAAGACAAGGATTCCAAATATTAGGATAAAAGTGATAATCATGAGTTTCAACTGCCTCATACCATTCACCTTCTTGAGACGGAAAATGTATGAGAAGAGGGTCACGGTAAGCCAGAACATGAGAAAGCAGTTAATCCAATACAAGCTGATGCGTGCTTGATACGAGATGTGTACGTGAATGAGAACCTTATGAAATGAACCATTCACAATGTAGATGATGTAATCTCTATAATACTCAGGCGACAAGAAGGAGAGGATCAAGGTCAGCGAAAACAGTATCATTACAATTAGTTTGATGAGTATCAATCTCTGTACTATGTCTTTATAGAATTTACTAGAGAGGGCAAAGATGAGTGCTACAGTGCACAATATAACTCCACAGGAGCCAATGACAGTATTAAAATCATCAGTATCAGTAGCAGAGACAAGATCTACCCCATCACCATCACTGCAATTCTCTCCCTCCATCTTGAATTGGCTGATATAGCTGTTTACACAATGCAGCCCACTAAAGAGAATCACATGGACAAACACTGCAGTAAGCCAAGAAATATAAAGCAAAAGCCTATAGCCTTCATACTTCATAGTAGTACTTACCGACAAAAATTAATGATTATTGACAAATGAAAAAAAGGAGAATACTCTCTTCACAATACTACATGTACATGAATTATAAAAGAGGTACATGTAAACATGTGCATCCCAGTTTCCCCTGACTTACGAGTAAATGCAGGAATGGCTTTATTTTCCTCTTGATCATCTTTAAATATACACCAAATCTCTAGGAGCTGTTTAGCATATTCTTCAAATTGTGCTAATAAGTGATGAGGTAGATACATAGCAATGCCTCCTACTTTAAGCCCAAGTAAAGGAACACCTATTGAAATACAAAAGATTTAACTGTGACACTTAGAAAACTATACATTGCATAATATGTGTATGCATGACTGCCATAAACATTGATCTTGTATCAGGTAAAAACTTAACAATGTTAAAAGAAGGTTGCTGAAATGCTTATTTAAAAGGAACCCAAAATCATACCTTCTCTAGGCCAAGCAAGACAGACTTCAAATACCCTCTCATCCAAAGAAGACAACACATTAGAGCCAACATTATGAAGAGCATTATCAGCTAATGATTTTATACAAGAGCTAATAGGAGCAGGAGACTGAATGACTGGAACTGCAGATGATACTGATGAACTTATAAAATGAACAAGAGCTTCTCCCAAACAAAAAGAGACCAGGGTCCCTTCTGAAACAGATTTTGAATATTCTCCAGTGATACCCCTCAGTAATAATATCAATCTATCAGTTGTATCTCTCTCACTAGGAGCTGGAGGAGGAGGATGAAGAGAGGCTGTTGATGACAGCCATGATGCAGCTATTGTAAAAAAGAGACTAAGATTACGGAATGTGAGATCAGTTTTAACTTCAGGAGCTTTGAAATGATAATAACTAGATTGTAAGGATCCATCAGTCTTATTATGTACACTTAATAATAACTGAGGACATAGAATGGATCGATCGGTTACTAATACACCAGTAGTAATGTGACTGATACTATCATTGCTACACTCAACACTACTAAATGTCACTTCCTCTATAGTACAATCCAAGTGCAATGTCTGAGGGTCAGTGGGTGTCGCATTACCACTGTACATTGCCATGGTAACCTCAGCATCGACTCTGTTTATAATGAGAGAGGTGGTGGGTTTTGAATCGCTTGATGAGATGTGGCACTTCAGAGGAAGATGAATCAATGTTGTATCTGACGTTATACTTAACATTGTCTTGGCAACAGGATCACCTAACACAATTAAACCTATAAAAACAAATAATATTAGGATTAACAATGGTATTACTTTGTTGAAATCATGATAATAACAAGTTAGTACATAAATAGGAGAAAATAGTGCACACACAAAAAAGTACAAGTATTGCATTTCTTGCTATTACCTTGAGATACTAATGGTGTGGCCTCAAGTGAAACTCTAAACTTATTGATAAAGAAATCCAACCTGTGCATGACGTCAAGTGAGAGTATCAAGGAATGCTTTCCCAGTTTGAGGGTCTCCTGACAAGTCTCAGTTTCTCTTTCAGGAGGAGCAGAATCGTAATAATCGTACGTGAACCACAGCCCTTGGTACTCTGGTTTATACTCCAACCAATGACGAGGAGGGGGAGGAGAAGGGTGAAGGGATTCATCAAAAAGTGAATAATTCAAAAGTGGTTGGACATCAATTGGTGAAGGACTACCCAATGAATAAACATGAACCTACAGAAAAGAGAAGGAAATTTACAGAAATGATCAGTTAGAAAGGGACAAACTTAGAATCAAGTTAAATTACCATTTTTTCTTCATTT